TTGCTGCTTTGGTTGAACTTTGTGCTGCATACATACACGCATATAAACACTCATAGGTACGTGATGTAAATGTACGCTGTTAAAACTGAACAAAAACATGTATTCTAATTTACTTTAATTACTTAATTAATAAATTAATTTTTTTTAATAATTTAATTTTTTTAATTTTTTTTTTAATTTTACTTTTTTGTGGAGAGTATAGGCTATTTTACTGTCGGGCTTGCTCGACTGTAGCGTTCTCTCTTGTTTACTTTTTGGTGGGAGGTAAAGGGTATTTAAGAGTTGAGCTTGCTCGACTTTAGGATTCTTTTTTTGTTTGAATATGAATGTTGTGAGTGCAAAAGGCGTGTTTCTGCTATTGTAAATCGCAAGAATACATTCACAGAATAAGCTTAACACTTAATGTCTCCCAGAATACTTCAGAATACATTTGTAGCGTTGTTAGCTGACGCAACCTTTTAACACAAATGGTAAATCGCTTGTAAATATGCGATCAGCTGAGGTGCTAGAGATGTACATATCAGCGTTGGCCAGACGTCCCGATTTTTAAATGAAAATTAAATATCCCACGCGGGACAGGCTCAAAAAGCTATCAAAGTGTAGGTGAAAACCAAGATGTGGCTTAAGAGAATTAGAAATCCGATTAACTTTAAACTTGGTTTATGTATTTACTCTGAGAAAGAATACAGAATAAGCTGCGTTGTATTTTTGTAACCTTTCATTAAAGAGTAGAAGAAATAGTTATGATATATGTATGTATGTATATACAAAGTGATGGATGATAGTGAAGAGCAAAACGTAATGTACGCTAACCGTCGGAAAGACAATAGCAAAGCAGAGAGAAGCTGCAATGTGCAAAAAGGAGACAGAAAATGTTTCGCGTGTGGCAGCATGCTAAGCGCAATAGAAAATGTTTTCGCCGCGGAATGGAATAACGGCTTATGGTGCCTATACAGTGGTTTTAGTAAAATAGCAACAGTCGAAAAGACTTTGCATTTGGCGAACAACAACACAACGAGTATAAAAGGCATTGGTGAAATACGTGTAACAGCAAAGAAAGAGAAAGATAAAGAAAACATAACTCTAAAAGAGGAATTTTATGTATCCGATTTACGCAACAATTTATTGTAAGTTTCAAAAATTACAGACAAGGGCTACGAGGTGCATTTTCGTAAAAATGATGTGGTTATTATGAAAAATAGTAATGTTTGGTTTCATGCAAAAAGATATGGCAACCTGTATCGTCAAAGGAAGTAATCGTGGAAAATTCGAATCAAAATCAGAGGAATGCATACTTGTTGGCTACTACACAGAGAGTTTTACAACACAGAAGAGCTCTCAGAGAATGGCATCAGCATTAATTTATCCAACCAGCCGCAAATAAGTGAAAGCTCATCCAGCGAAGAAGATTCCGAAGAGGTGCAGCAACGACATGGTAGAGGACGACACAAGCTAGTGAGAAGTGGTCAACGTGGGAGACCTCGAAAGGTCTATCAGCCAGCAGCCGAAAAGGCTAACGACGGCAACGACGATGAGGTGCATTCTGAATCATCACAAGGAGATATGTATGTATGAAGACTGCGAAATGGCATTTGCAGCAGTGGGAGATCCATTTTCAATAGAGGAAGCGAAAAGCTTCAGCGAAGTGGAAAATTGGACCAAAGCAATCGAAGACGAGTTCATTGAACATAGAAAAGTGATTGGAAACAAAATGGTATTCCGTACTAAGGACGACGGCAGCACTACCGGTAAGAAGAAAGCGCGATTAGTCGCAAAGGGCTCTTCGCAAAAACCTGGCGAAGATTTTCATGACGTACTTACCAGTAGTGCGTTTCTCATCGATAAGAATGTTAGCAGCTTTAGCAGCAGCTTAATATGGATGTCCACCAAATGGATGTAGTAACAGCATACCTAAACGGAGAACTGGAAGAAAAGGTATGCATGGACGTACAAGAGGAATTTACCGATTTCATTGCATGAAAAAGTTAGTATCGAGGCAGCAGTAGGTGCAATAGAACCTTCATGTAATGAGAAACACATCGAAGCAGCAAAGGCATGGCGAACGTCATTGAAAGGGATGAAGAATCCTGTTTGTCTACTCGAGAAGACGTTGTATAGATTACGTCAAATTAACCGAAAAGTTACAAAAGGGTCTTGAGGCAACCAAGCAAGATCCATGCATGTTTGTGAAGCGACCGGGGAAGAAAATTCGTCTGGTCACGATTTACATACGTCGTTGATTTTTTATTGGCATTCAGACTTTCAAATCATGCAAAATGGCTACATCAAACCAAGGCATCCCTCGGAAGAACATTTGAAATGAAGGACATCGGTCCAGTTAAAACATGTCTCGGCATAGAGTTTCAACAAAACTTGGGCGAGCAACAAATCTTCATTTGTCAGGAGCAGTACATTGAAGCACTTTTGAGAAGATTTGAAATGCCAGAATGCAAACCGGCATTAACTCCACTCGAAGCGAAATGTACATCAAAACATCTTTATCAAAACATAATTGGTGCTTTAATGTTTCTTTCAGTGGCCTGATTCAGTTTAATTCATGTTACAACGGTGCACATTGGAAGACAGCGAAACGAGTACTACTGTACCTAAACGGTACAAAGCAGTACGGCCTGTTATACAAGAAGACAGGCGACGACTTATATGCCATGGTAGATGCAGACTGGGACATAAGCCGAAAGCAGCGCAAGGTGACATTGTCAAGTACAGAGGCAGCTAAGGAGGCCTTATACTTAAAAGCGCTTCTTAAAAGGATCGGCCGAAAATGTGAGCAGGTGACGCTCCTAAACGACTATCAGAGCGCACAGAAATTGGTCAGCGGGTTCGGCTTTCATAATCGCACTAAGCATATTGATGTGCGTCACCACTTCATACAGGAAAAGCATAAGAGCGGCGACATCAATGTTAAATACCTGCAGAGGGAACTGATGGCAGCAGACGTCCTAACGAAGGGTCTCAATAGCACTAAGCATCGAGAATGCATTTCATCCTTGGGCGTCACTTATATTTAATCTGCAGAACTGCTAGTTTGAAGGGGCGTGTTGAAATATGGCCATACTTGTACATGACATATTCACTTTATTATACTCACTTATGACTTTATATCTAAACATATTGGCGCGACTCCGCCAACAATATTTAATTTAAGCTTTTATACATGTGTATATGGTAATCCAATTTTCAAAGACCGATATATGTATGTGCATAATATTGCTTTTTCGTAAAATATTAATTTATTTCATGCAAATGTGGCTAACATAGTTTTTTTCTGATATGCTCTCCAAATCCCTTGCTTTTCCAACAATAAACTACATATATGCATATAACACAACGTTTTAAGATAGACTTTGTACAAAAAACTGGAAAAAAAATATTAGAGTATTTCCTAACTTTAATTTATATTTTGGTCCTGTTGTTTTTGTTTCCATCGCATTTTCACGATCGTTTCTTTTCGTGCTTTATTGAGTCAACACAAACACTCTCTTTGTTATATATTGTTGCTGCATATGGCAAGTAAAAAACATATTTCTATATTTCGAAAATCGTTGAAAGCCAATTTGTAGATATAGTTATGATGATTATGGATACCAAATTTGATCGCACAACATTTATAACACAAACTTTTCATTTAAAAAAAAAAGAAAATAAATATTAAAACCCCAAAAATTCAAGCTCCTAGACCAATTTAAAACAAGAGAGAACGCTACAGTCGAGCAAGCCCGACAGTAAAATAGCCTGTACTCTCCACAAAAAATTAAAATAAAAAAAATAAAAATAAAAAAAATTAAATTTTTAAAATACAAGATAGAACGCTACAGTCGAGCAAGCCCGATAGTAAAATAGCCTGTACTCTCCACAAAAAAGAAAAATTAAAAAAAATTAAATTATTAAAAAAAATGAATGAATTAATTGAATTAAATTAGAATACATGTTTATGTTCAGTTTTAACAGCATACATTTACATCACGTACCTATGCGTGTTTATATGCGAGTATGTATGCAGCACAAAGTTGAACCAAAGCAGCAACAACAACAACAGCTGCGGGCAGCGCTGCCGACAGAGCTGCAGGCAGCGCATGAGAAGCGATTTTACTTATGGCTATAACTTTCTTCAGAATTGACCTATCATGATGAAATTTGGCACACGGACACATTAGTACTAACTGGATGTGCCTACCAATTCATTTAAAAATTCCGAGAATTACGGAAGTTATAAGAAAAAACACGAATTGCGGGGGAGTGGGGGGTGCATCGAAAAAAAAACTCAAACTCGTACTTTCTCGGTCTTAGGAGAATATGCAAACCAAGTTTGGTTATTCTAGCTCTTATACTTTCTGAGATCCTTGCGTTCATACGGACAGACGGACAGACGGTCAGACGGTCAGACGGACAGACGGACGGACGGACAAGGCTATATCCACTCGGCTTCTCATCCTGATCAAGAATATATATACTTTGTGGGGTCTGCCACGCCTCCTTCTATCTGTTATATTTTCAGCTCCTGCAAACCTAATATATTCTTGTACATTTTATGTACAGAGAATAAAAACCGAGTGTGCAGTTATTTTTGTATTCTTTTATTGATTTTATTTTAGAAACCGATTTCGATCCGTTGAAGAATGTGAATTTGCCAAATAAACTTTGGAGCTTGTTTTCCCTCCTTTGGAGCATGAAAAATCGCTTCTTAATGCGCACCTACACTATGATAGGATCCTTGAGTCCAAATTTAAGCTTTTTAGCTTTTACCGTTTGGGCTGTGTGTTGATCACCACTCAGTCAGTCAGTCAGGATAAAGTGATTTATATATAGATGATACATATATATGCCTTTTTAACCATTTGGTACAGGGTACAACAATTTTAGCTTTATCTACCCATAACTATAAATAATTTTATTTACAAGGGAATTGGATCCAAAGGCGTTACTTCTTTAAATTATTTAGTAGCATTTGCTTTTTAAACTTTATTTTTTTGTAATTTTAGTTGTTCAACAGCGCTATGAACCAGAAGTTCAAAATCCAGGAGGATTTATTGGAAGTAACGTTTTAATCAAGTGCAACATCCCATCATTTGTAAAAGATTATGTTACGGTAACTTCATGGTTTCAAGAACCTAATTTCAATATTTTTCCATCTCTTGAAGGTGGTAAGTTTGAACGAATAAGAAAAACACCAATTATTTTACGATTAAATCTACAATCATTTCAACAGATGGAAAAAATCATATGTTGCCCTCTGGAGATCTCATAGTATACAATATAACTAGAAAAGATGCTGAAAAAAGCTACAGATGTCGGACCCACCACAAGCTAACGAAAGATTCAGTTGTAAGCATTAATGCTGGTAAAATTCAATTAACGGGTGAGTACTTGTCATTTACAATTTGTTTTCAAATTTAATATTTTTGGGAACATCGTGCATCTAAGGTGTCAGGTGTCCCGACTTTGAAATACTCTGTACATATGTGTAGAATAATTATGCGTGGCTATGTGCGTTTGTATATTTCTGTGTATGTCTGGGGGCAGTGCTTGGGCAAGATGACATATGTGGCTATAACTTCCTGCTTATACGGCCTATCATTATGAAACTTGGTAAACGTACTTATAATCACTAGCTGGAGGTATTTGCTAAGCTTGAGTTCGACATTCCAAAAATTATGGTAGTTATGGGAAATCAGTGATTGTGTGGGTGAGGGGGAAGGAGGGAATTTCCAAAAAACACATTTTCTGCGTATTCATAATGCACCTTCGTCTATTTTTGTGTCCTTAGGTCTTACATCTTCCGAGATATAGGTGATTATATGAACGAGAAATCGGGGTGCCCTTCATAGGGGAAGTGGGGGAAAATGGGCTCCGATAGTTGGTTGAAAATCTTTGTTATTCCACCGATGAACTCAAATTTGGTTATTATAAGCCAGAGAAAGAATAAAAACAGGATAGAACGCTACAGTCGAGCAAGCCCGACAGTAAAATAGCCTGTACTCTCTACAAAAAAAGAAAAATTAAATTATTAAAAACAAGTAAAAAAGCTAAAGTCGGGTGTCCCGACTTTGAAATACTCTGTACATATGTTTACAATAATTATAAAAAATATTAAAAAAATGCGTCTGTGTGAGTGTATGTATGCCTATGCGCATCTATTCGTGTCTGTGTAAGCATTTTCGCAGTCAACCAAACAGCAACATCAACAACAGCCACGGGCAGCGCTTGAGCAGCGCTGCAGCAGCAAATATATTTATGGCTATAACTTCTTGTTAAATCGGTCTATCATAGTGAAACTTGGCATACGGACACATAATAACCAACTGGGGCATTTCAATATTTAAATTTTAGTTCGAAATCCAAGAATTACGGGAGTTACGATTTGCTGGGTAGAGGGGGGAGGGAGGGGAATTCCAAAATATACATTTTCTGCGTATTCACGTAAGGCATCTGGGACTAAAATTTGGTGTTCCTAGGTCTTATAGTCTTCGAGATAGAGGCGATTATACGAATGGAAAATCATGAAAACCCCCATAGGGGGGAAGTGGGGGGGAAAATCAAAAAAATAAAACAAACTCGTATAGAATACACACATAACGCATCTTTGTGTAAAATTTGGTATCTCTATCTCTTATAGTCTCTGAGATCCAGGTGTTCATACGGACGGACAGACGGACAGACAGGGCTAGATCGACTCGTCTCGTCATGCTGATCAAGAATATATATACTTTGTGGGGTCTGCCACGCCTCCTTCTGCCTGTTACATTTTTCACTCCCGCAAACCTAATATACTTCTGTACATTTCATGTACAGAGTATAAAAATGAATGAATGAATTAATTAATTAAATTAAATAAGAATACATGTTTATGTTCAGTTTTAACAGCATACATTTACATCACGTACCTATGCGTCTTTATATGCGTGTATGTATGCAGCACAAAGTTGAACCAAAGCAGCAACAACAACAACAGCTGCGGGCAGCGCTGCCGACAGAGCTGCAGGCAGCACATAGGCATACGCTCTGAGATCCAGGAGTTCATATGGACGGACGGACAAAATGACAGACGGACGGACAGACAGACAGGACTCGATCGACTTGTCTTGTCATGCTGATCAAGAATATATATACTTTGTGGGGTCCACGCCTTCTTCTGTCTGCTACATTTTCCACCTCCTGCAAACCTTATATACTCTTGTACATTTCATGTACAGAGTATAACAAGAGAGAACGCTACAGTCGAGCAAGCCCGACAGTGTTATACCCTGTACCCAGGTAATTTTCCGTCACTGAGTTCTATGCGCCCAAAGCAGCAGCAAAAAGAGGAAGAAGAAGAGCGAACTCGTTGCTGCAGTTTGGGGGTTTTACTGGCCAGAATTTGTTTCGCTAATAACTTTTCTTAGAATTGACCGAATTATATAAAATTATAAACAACAGTAGATAAATATGTATTAATTATGTGTGCAAAGTTTGGTTCAGGTAGCATCTGAAATGTGGACGCTATTGAAATTTTGTAGCGAGGAGTGGAATTCAAAAAAATAAAATAAACTCGTCCTTTCTCGGACCTAGGAGAATCTGGATGCCAACTTTGGTTATTCTAGCTTTTATAGTTTCTAAAATCCATGCGTTCATCCAGACGGATGGACGGACAGACGGACGGACATGTCTAGATCGATTTCTCTCGTCATGCTGATTCAGAATATATATACTTTATGGGGTCGGAGATGCTTCCTTCTGCATGTTACATACTTTGCACAAACCTAATATACCCTTTTTACCCTACGGGTACAGGGTATAAAAAGAAAGGAGTGCTAAAATCGAGCGGGCTCAACTCTAGAACACCCTGTACCACAGCAAAAAAAAAAAAAAATTTAATCAAGTCGGGTTTCCCGACATTGAAATACTCTGTACATATGTGTAGAATAATCATGCGTGTATGTGTGTATTTGTGTGTGTCTGTTTATGTTACAACAACAACAGCTGCAGGCACTACTTAGTATTATGTACATATATGGCTATAACTTCCTATTAAATCGGCCTATCATGATGATGACATTTTGACTTATAATAACTAAATGGAGGTATTTGCCAAGTTTGAGTTCGAAATTCCAAGAATTACGGGAGTTACGATTTGCATGGGAGAGGGGGGGAGAGAGGGAAATTCCAAAATACACATTTTCTGCGTATTCACATAAGGCATCTGGGACTTAAATTTTGGGTCTCTAGCTAGCGGACGGACAGACGGACAGACAGACAGGGCTAGATCGACTCGCCTCGTCATGCTGATCAAGAATATATGTACTTTGTGTTACATTTTCAGCTCCCGAAAACCTAATATACAAGGTGCATTCGAAAGCAAACAGGACTTTTTGCATCTAGCGGCCCTTGGTGGCGCTATCTATATGTCGACTGGTGCGTTAGAATCTGCTATCTTTATCGATTGTCCAGTGAGAATTTCATGACATTTCATCAATTGGAAGTGAAGTTATTGCGTTTTAAGTGTCAGTATGTTTGTGTTATTGGTGCGACAATGAGCTTCGAACAAAGAGCCAACATTAAATTTGGTTTTAATATTGGTAAAACTTTTACCAAAACGTTTCAATTGATGGAACAAGTTTATGGCGATGACTGCCTATCCCGTAGCAGAGTGCACGAGTGGTTTCAACGTTTTCAAAGTGGTCGAGAGGACATAAATGACGATCAACATGTGGGCCAATCAAAATTCGTGATCACCGAAAATTCCATCGAAACTGTGCGTGAATTCAACAAAAATCAGTCGAAATCATCATTGAAATTTATGGAAATGGAATTAAACATCTCCAAAACATCGATTTATCGCATTTTGTCCGAACATTTGGGCTTACGAAAGGTGTGTGCACGGTTTGTTTCGCACAAATTGACTGACGACCAAAAATTGCTCAGAATCGATCAACGCTTGTGACCGATTATTTGACCAAAAATCATATTTTAACCATTAACCACTCGCCGTATTCACCTGATATGGCACCGTGCGACTTCTACCTTTTCGGAAAAATGCATTTGCCCATGAAAGGAAAGCGTTATGCAGACGTACATGCCATTCAAAAGGCTCGCACCGGCATACTGGCGGCCATACCGGCCAACAAGCTAAAACATTCGTTCGACATGCTTTTGGATCGTGCAAAAAGCTGTATTGAAGCAGAAGGAGACTATTTTGAATAAAATAAATTTATTTGGCAGAAAAAACCATTTGTTCTGTTTTTTTTTTTTTAAAGTCCTGTATATTTTGGTACACTCCTTGTGCTCTTGTACATTTCAGGTACAGAGTATACAAATTTAATTAATTAAATTAAATATACAGTATGTTAAGTGCGCGGAGAATTGATTGCGATTACAACTCAGTCAACTACAAAAACTCTTTTGCACCTTTAGCTAAAGCTTTTGTCTTCGGAGCTTTTATAAAAATATTAAATTCCATGTTGAGATTTTGACACATTGACTTGTGACTTGCAATGTATGCCCCTTTTGCTAAGCGTTTCGAGGTTATGTGATTTTGGACATATTTTCAAGGAATCCATTCTTATTCTTGCGTCAAGGACAAATAAAATTGCAGCTAAAGGGATATATGTTACGTGACTATGTAGGAATATTTACGGGCAAATAATGTGAAATGACGAAGCACAATGAAAAACTAATGCAGACTAAACAAGTAAAAAAGCTAAAGTTGGGTGTCCTGACTTTGAAATACTCTGTACTTATGTATAGAATAATGATAGAAAATAAAAAAATTTTGAAAATTAAAATGTGATCGATTTTACTTCTTTCGGTATTCGAACTCATGTAAAGGGTGTATAATTGCACATTTACAAAGCAATTACGTCTATGTGAGTGTACGTATGTCTATGCGCGTCTATTCGTGTCTGTGTGAGCATGTTTGCAGTCAAACAAACAGCAACATCAAAAACAGCTGCGGGCAGAGCTTGGGCAGTGTTTGCGACGCGAATGAGTATATGAAATCTCATCAACGCGGACCAAATAGGCATTCAATAAAATAGTTTTGAAACACATAATATACATAAACCTATTGTTCACAAAAGTGAACAAGCGCTCAGAAGTTAGCATAGGGAGCACAAGCAGTAGGTAGGCTAAACAACAAATCTCGGTCTAAGAATAGCCGCATGCAGCAGTGGTACAGACCAACGCATAGTAGATAACAGAAAATGCATAGGCAAATAGGACCGCGGCAGCGTTTAAGGGTGGGTGCACACTGCGTTTAAGAAAGGCTTGAAAATATACATATGGAGGGGAAATCCACTTGACACCGTTAGGATAGAATAAGACGAAAAATGTAAAATTAGAGTAAGTACAATGTTTAGAAAATAAGAAAGAGTAAAATATTGA